TTCAGGCCTGTCTCCAGGGCTCTGAGGAGGCTGAGTTGGCCATGCAGGGCTATAGAGTGTGTGTGTGTGGGGGGGGGGGGCATGCAGAGAGAGAGAGAGAGAGAGTGTGTGTGTGTGTGTGTGTGTGTGTCTCCAGGCTGAGCTGGCCATGCAGGGCTATAGTGTGTGTGTGTGTGTGACCTTGGTGATTTCCTAGGACTCTTGTGGCCAGATTTGTCACAGGTTTTGGCTTCTGTCGTCGGTCTCTACTATGAAGTTGTCGTGGCGAGTCTGATGAACAGGGGGCCAGGGGAATGGCCCCGTGTCCACTACAGGGGGAAAACTACCTGCTTGCTGGGTTCTGGGGGGGCAGAGTGAAGGCTGACGGGGCAGGGGGCAGTCCCGGGAGTGTGGATACCCCGGGGCCAGCCTTTTTCACATGGGTCTTTGTAACTGGGGGATATGGAGTCCCTTGGCTGTGTATGTGTGTGTTTGTGTGTGTATTAGTGTTTTTTTTGATGGCTATATAGAAGTGGGACCTGCTCGTGCAGTCAGTTTGAGCTCTACCCCCAGAGATGGAGCCGGGCAGGTGGGCCCTCTGGGGGGTGGAGGGGCCCCGGGTTGGGGGGGGAGCCAGTCTCCCCGCCCCCCCCAAGGGCTTGGCCCTAGCAGATGCCTGGCTTCCCTCCCAGCTGTGTGTGGACCCGGTACAGAATCTGCAGAAGGCACAGTGCCTTAGGACAGGGCAAGGTGTGACCTCCCCCTGGGCACCTGGGGCTTAGCGACAGGCAGGGGGTGGGTCTGTCCCCAGCTACCTCCTCCCCCCCCACGTTCTGCTAAGTTCAAAAAAGTTTTGGAAGTGTTGTCCACTGTCCTATAGTTTCTACTAGGTAACGCCTTTGGGCTTGGTACCTTTTCTCAAGGTCAAGTGCTGCCATTGCCTTGAGTGAGGTCAAACATTTAATTTCCATTTTGGGAGTGTGTGTGTGTGTGTGTAGCGAGGCCATACCTGGCACCCCTCAGGGCTTCTTCCTTGCTCTGTGCTCAGGGGTCACTCCTAACCGACCTTGATTAAGGGGTGCGGAGGATGGGACCGGGCCGGCCACCTGCAAGCACCTTCCTTCCCCGTTGTACCATCTCTCTGGCCCCGAGCAGTTTATTTTTCTTTTATTACTACTTTTTTTTTTTTTTTGGTGGGGTTGCGGGGTACTCAGCCTGGTGGTGCTCAGGGCTCACTCCTGGTCTGTGCTCAGGGCCCACTTCTGGTGGGGATTGGGGGACCATTCGTGGGGTCAAGCCTGGGTCGAGGCAAATGCCCTCCCCACTGTGCTGTGCCCAGACCCCTGAATTTATTTATTTTTGCCTTTTTGGTTACCCCTGGCGATGCAAAGGGGTTACTTTTGGCTCTGCAGTCGGGAGTTACTCCCGGCAGTGCTCGGGACCATGTGACGTGATGCTGGGAATCGAACCCGGATTGGCCGCGTGCTCTCCCCGCTTTGCTGTCACTCCAGCCCCCCCTCCCGCCCCCAAATTGTTTTATTTTTTTTTTAACTGAATCACTGAGTTGGGCCCTTACAAAGCTTGAGTGGTGGGTTTCTCTGCGCTGATATGCTGAGCTGATAGGTCTGGGAGCACATCTGGGCCCTCACTGAGGGCTCCCGGCTGTGGGGTTTGCCTTTGGAATGTGGTACCTGATGCCCGCCCCTCCCAAAACCTCCCTGGCCTTGGCTTGGCCTGCAGTGCCCGGGGGGGGGGGGGGGGGAGGCAGAAGGTTCTAGAACACTGAGTGTGCACACATCCTTCGCTGGATCGGGAAGGGGATTTGTCACTGACCCCAGTTGAGAGATGACCTGCTCTTCCGTCCGTCACTTTTCCCGTCCTCTCAGTTACTCTGAAAGGTTCTTGATCCCCCCCTCCGCCCCCCCCAGCTGGTTCGTGGGGATGATTTGGGTATTGATCTGTGGTTTTCGGGAAGTGTTCTGTCTCCATCTGTTGATATTGGGATCTCGTGCCTTGGTACTCGGATATTCCCACCTGCCTGGCGGGGCTCCTTTGGGTGGGTTGGCACGGAGAGACGTAACAGCCTTAAAGTGGTGCAGGTCTGCTTGTGGGCAACTCGATGGTGTGACGGAACTTGATCTTGTTCTTGGGCTTGGTGGCCTTGAAACTGTCAAGGATGCTGATGAGACGACAGTTGTAGGTGACCACAGTGAAGTCGGAATGGACAGTGAAGTCGGTTGTAATTCCAGTGGGCAGCTGGTGGGGACGGGCCTGGGGCCATGCTCCTCAGTTTACCCTGTGGGGATCCGACCCTACCCTACTGGAGCTGACCCGAGCACTTAGCCCCCCACGCACTCCTTCCGAGGGGGTGCCCCGGAGAGAAAAATGAAGCAAAGCACTTGGTTGGGTCCTCAGCAGGGTGTGGATGGCAGGGGTACCGCGGGGGGACCTGGGCGGAGCCCCCCACAAAGGGGCCGCTGCCCGGAGCCTAGGAGGAGCCGGGCGCTGTCTCTGCCGGCAAGAATGAGCGTTGCCGAGTCCAGCCGGGCACGGTGACCCCCAGAATTGGCCCTGATGCTGCTTCCTGGAGACACGCAGGCCTGCGGGTCTGTCCTGCCCCCAGCGGGCTCCCCTCTGCCCCCCCACGATGGCCATCAGCATGGGTTTACCCTGGCGGGGCCCTCCAGGCCCGTCTGCACACGGGCTTCCAGGAGGGGGCGCCACTGGCCTCTGAGGCAAGAGTAGCACTGTCCCACTGTCGCGTTCATCCATTTGTCGAGCGGGCACCAGTAACGTCTCCCTAGTGAGACTTGTTACTGTTTCTGGCATATCGAATATGCCACAAAGACACTTTATTTTTTAAAAAATAGTGAAACACCATGAGGTGCAGTTGTAGACTTACAAGTTTTTGTGCTTGGGTTTCAGTTACACAATGATCGCGTGCCCATCCCTCCACCAGTGCCCATTTTCCACCACCACGGGTCCCAGCATCCCTCCCACCCCCCCCATCATCCCCCATCCCACCCTGCCTCTGTGGCAGGGCATTCCCTTTTGTTCTCTCTCTCCTTTTGGGTGCTTTTCTACAGACCAACCACTTCTTTTTTTATTTTCGCGTTACACCCAGCGATGCACAGGGGGTTCCTCCTGGCTCATGCACTCAGGAATCACTCCTGGCGGTGCTCAGGGGGACCCTATGGGATGCTGGGAATCGAACCCGGGTCGGCCACGTGCAAGGCCAACGCCCTCCCCGCTGTGCTGTCGCTCCAGCCCCCAGGCCAGCCAGTTTCTGCGGAAACTCTTCCCCGGACGTATAAACTCCCGGAGAAGTCAGATCCCCGAACTGAAGCGCAGTTGCGGCCTCGTGTGTGTGTGTGTGTGTGTGGGGGGGGGGGGGGGGGGTGAGCTCTGCTTTTGCTGTCCGGGGCCGCCCAGAACCGTCCTTAGGTGCCTCTGCTGCCCCGATTCTATTTCTCCCGCCCGCAGCTACTCGAGCCCAGGATGGGAACCTCCAGGGCAGGTGCGTCTGGGTTCGGGGAGGCCCCGCCATGAGGCCCTGTGGACCAGGCGTGGCCGCTCCGTTACTTAGCTGTTGCCCAGGAAAGCCCGCAGTTGGTTGGCAGTTTGATAACTGCCGGGCTCCGGTCCCCGCTGCGAGTTTCTGTAGTCCCAGCGTCGCCCGGGACACGGGCCAGCAGCTTGTGTTTGTTGAATGAGTCAAAGACCGCACGGGGACCTGTCCCTGCTCCGCGTAACTGACCCCCAGCCTGGGCCTTGGGAACTCTCACGACAACCCCCTCCACCCCCCACACCCACACCCTTGTTCCGGCCTGTGCCGGGCCAGCTTGCAGCCTGCCTTAGCCGGGGCTCGAACTCAGGGCTCTTGAGTGTTCTGGAGAAACGTGGGGAAAGGAGGGAAGGGGCTGCTTGCTCCACCCTCTCTGGCCCGGCGGGGTCGAGGGGCCTGTTCATCTGAGCTGGTGGTGTGTGCTGTGGCCTTGTTGCTGGTTGGACTCTCAGAGAAGTGTTCGGACCGCGTGCGCGGGGTGGTCTGACCTGGGCCTCTGGGTGCGCTGGGTGGTGTGGGGAACCCTCGGGGGCCCTCCCTGGCCTTCCCGTTTGTGCCTCCGCCGTTTCTGCGGGCGCAGCTTAGCGTCCACCCTCCCGACAGGCCGGGTTCGGGGGGCATGTGTCCGTAGCTGCACGCGGCCTTTCTGTGGCCAACACAGTGGCCACGGCCACACGTGAGGCTTCCCGCCCGCAGCTACTTGACATTGGAGATTGGCGTCCTTGGCGCATCTCGCTGGACTTTCTTTTTCTTTGCTTTTTGGGTCACACCTGGCGATGCTCCTGGCTCTGCACTCAGGAATCAACTCCTGGTGGTGCTCGGGGATGCTGGGAATCGAACCCGGGTCGGCCGCGTGCAAGGCAGACACTCGCTCTCCCGCTGTGCTCCCGCCCCTCGCTGGGGTTTCGGAATGGGTTGCGATGCAGGGGATGGGGACGGGTCTAAGGATGGGGGTCAGGGTCCCACTGCGAGGCCGTGGAGTGTCGGGGTGGCCGGGGCCGTGGTACCCACGTTCCTTGGCGTCCATCCCAGCTGCTGCGTGGCCAAGTGGCCACCTCTGCTCAAGACAGGCCCCGGGGCTGGTGTCCCCCCATGCTGCTGACGTTGACGTCTCTCTCTCTCTCTCGTTCCCCTCCAGGGCGTGGACATCCCTTGACTGCAGGTCGCTGGACTGACGTGGTGCTGGGCCGAGGCCCCCATGGAGACCGGGAGAACGAAGGCTCTGCCGACTCACGCTTGAGTCCCAGCGGCCAGGCGGAGGGAGGCCTGGTGGGGGGACGTTCGGGGAGACCCCGCGGGGGCCCGGCGTGTCCTGCTGCTGCTACTGCTGCCGCCGTCAGTCCGTGGACGCCTCCTTGGTGAACCTGCTCGATCCCCTCGTCGTCGTCGTCGTCGTCGTCGTCTCTGCTCCTGGTTCCCGAGCCCCCAGACCCAGACCCGCGCCGGCCCCCCCACCATGCCCACCCAGTCGCTGCTGGTGTACATGGACGGGCCCGACGTGCTGGGCGCCGAGCTGGAGGACGCCGTGGCCACCAAGGGGCCGCCCGTGGTGCCCTTCCGCGCGGGGCCCGAGCGGGGGGCGGCGGTGGCGGCGGCGGCGGCGGTGGCCGTGCAGCCCGACGACACGCAGCTGCCCCTGGACTGCATGTTCTGCAGCCAGACCTTCGCCCACGCCGACGACCTCAACAAGCACGTGCTGCTGCAGCACCGGCCCACGGTGTGCGAGCCGGCCGTGCTGCGCGTGGAGGCCGAGTACCTGAGCCCCCTGGACAAGCGGCCGGCCCGGCCCGCCGCCGCGGCCCCCGCCGACGCCGACCCCCCGGAGCCCGAGGGTCCCAGCTGCGAGGTGTGCGGCCAGGCCTTCTGCGCCGCCCTGGACGTGGAGACGCACATGAAGAAGCACAAGGACTCGTTCACCTACGGCTGCCACGTGTGCGGCCGCCGCTTCAAGGAGCCCTGGTTCCTGAAGAACCACATGCGCACCCACACGGGCAAGGCGGGCGCCCGCGGCCGGCTGCAGGCGGGCCTGGACAGCCCGGCCACCATCAACGAGGTGGTCCAGGAGCCCGCGGCCGCCGCCGCCCCCGTCGCGTCCCCCTACAAGATCTGCATGGTCTGCGGCTTCCTCTTCCCGGGCAAGGAGAGCCTGATGGAGCACCGCAAGATGCACACCAAAGAGGGGCCCGCCACCCCCGCCGGCCCCGGCTCCGGCCCCGGCCCCGGCCCCGGCCCGGCTCCCCGGGACCCACCCCAGGACCCGCCCGCCCCCGAGTTCCTGCAGTTCCTCAGCCTGCGGCCGCAGCCGGCCCCCGACCCCAGCCGCCAGCCCGCCAAGTGGATCCCGCAGCTCGACCCCTTCACCACCTACCAGGCCTGGCAGCTGGCCACCAAGGGCAAGGTGGCCGTGTGCCGGGAGGTGAAGGAGCAGCCCGGCCAGGAGGGCAGCACCGACAACGACGACTCGTGCTCGGAGAAGGAGGAGCTGCTGGAGATCTGGGCGGCCCGGCCGGGGCCCCGACGCCAAGGCCAGCAGCAAGGGCGGGGCGCGGCAGCGGGGCCGGTGGCGGCGCCTGCCCCGGGCTGGCCGACAAGGAGAAGGGCCGCGGCAGTGGCGCCGGCCGAGGGCCCCGAGCGCCCCGAGCCCGACCCCAAGCTGCCGGGCGGCAAGGAGAAGCCCACGCACTGCGCCGAGTGCGGCAAGGCCTTCCGCACCTACCACCAGCTGGTGCTGCACTCGCGCGTGCACAAGAAGGAGCGGCGGCCCGACGCCGAGTCCCCCACCCTCGCCGCCGACGGCCGGCAGCGCCGCCCCGGCTCGCCCGAGCTGGAGGAGGCCGGCGGCCTGGACCGGGAGGGCGGCTCCGAGGACGGCTCCGAGGACGGGCTTCCCGAGGGGCTCCATCTGGGTAAGCGGACCCCCGACTCCCCACCCCCCACCCACGTCGGGTCCCTCCCCCGTGCCCCCCGGAGTCTGTCCCGACCCGACCCAAGGATGCTCCTGGTTCCTCGCGGGGTCCTTGAGAGAATGGCCCGGACTGCGGGGGGGGGGGGGGTGGGTCACACCAGGCATGGAGAGCGAGGGGCCTTCCCTTTGACGGGTCCTGACGGGGCCTGCGAGGTCCCCCCCCCCACCCCGCTGCCCCTCAGAGCTCCCAGGGCGGTGGGAGTCAGGGTCCCCGGCCTTGTCCTGGTCTTTGCTGGCAGTTCCGGATTGCGGGCATTGGGTCCTCTAGCTAGTGGCCGGCCCTTGCCCCGAGAGCGGGCAGGGACCAGTGGGCGCATGAGGGACGTGTGCGTGGTCTGTGCTCCGCGGAGGGCACTTTTCCCGGCCTCTGCTGTGAGCCAGGGGCCACCCAGAGCTCCTTAGAGATTGTTCCCGGGACAGCCCCAGAGGGAAACTTGGTTGGGCCCAGGCCTCTGGGCCCCTGGGGGGGTCTGTGCCGAGTTGGGGCTTTGGCCCCGAGCTGCCTTGTGCCCGGGAGACGCCAAGTGGCCAGTGGGGATACGGGCAGAGGAGTTGGGTGGAGACCGGGCTGGACTGGGAGCGCCAGCCCTGGCATTGCCCTGGGACCCTGACATAGCTGCCTGGCCACGGGCCCTTCCTTGTCTGCCCCCGGCCTGGGCCCATTAATGGGAGATGAGCAACGGGCATCGCTCAGAGAGGAGCAGAACCCGGCGGGGGTGGGCTGTGGGCCGTCCCTGGCCAAGGTGCGCCAGTGTGGGCGTTTCCTGACCCTCTGGGTGTGCTGCAGGGCCCAGAGGTCCTGAGGCAGAGATGGACGGAGTACGACAGAGTAGGACATGGCAGGCGGCAGGCAGGCAGGCAGGCAGGCAGGCATGGGCTTACCGGATGGGGACCGACAGACACTTACACACTTGCACATTCATGCTCACTCCGTTTCCTCAGCGGTTCCGGGGTCTCCTGCTACCCTCCCGTGCACAATCACCCCAGAGTCTGGTGCCTTCTGGGGCCCGGGGCTGTCTGCTCGAGGTGCCCTCCTGCCCCAGCCCTGGGGACCCCGTTCCCACCGTGGCCCGGTGGTTGTGGCCTGCAGGGCTTTGGGGCAGGTGTGTGTCTTGGGCCCCCGCTCGGGGGTTCGAACCCTGGGTCTCCTGCCCCCAGATCACAGCTGCAAACACATGAGCTCTCCGAGGGTGACCGCTGGTCATCTGATTTCCTTCACCTGGGGCGGGGGAAGGCTTGTTGCCCCCGGCCCGAACCCAACCTGCCTTCCCCAAACGAGTTTGGCAAAATGCTGACCCTCGCAGAAAGGCTTGCGAAATGCTGGCCGGCCCCCGGCGGCTCCTGCCGCGATGTGGCCGTGCCTGCTGCCCCCCAGTGGCCGCTGGCAGGATTGCGGCATCCTGGCCTTGCTGGGCTGGGGGAGGGGGGTGGCCTGTCCACCGGGAAACTGCCCCCCTCCTGCCCAGGTGTCCCCGTGGACACGGCCCCGTGCTCCCACCCCTCCGCCCCCCCGCCCCCTTCTCGCACACCCTAGCCTGTGGCCCCGAGGGTCAGGGGCCGGCAGGTCAGCGGGCCCCCACCCCGGAAGCGGCCAGGGGTTGAAGCTCTCGCTCCCGCCTCCCGTTGCCTGAGCTGCCTTCTGACCTATTTTTTGTTTCTGCTTTAAAGAGAAAAATGATGATGGAGGGAAACTAAAGCATCTTACATCCTCCAGAGAATGTAGTTATTGTGGAAAGTTTTTCCGTTCAAATTATTACCTCAATATTCATCTCAGAACACACACAGGTAAGGACCCTCGCGGCCGCATGTCTCGGTCACGCCGCCCCGCCGGGGGCTCCCCAGGGAGGCCCCGAGGCTCGGGGACACGGCCCCCCCTCCCCTCACGACGCCCGCCTCCAGCCCCGGGACCCCTCCCCCAGCCCGAGGAGGAGGGGGGGGTCCCTGCCCGCCCCGTCCTCTCCTTCCCCTCCCTGACTCCTCGTCCTTCCTTGCTCCGTTGCAGGGGAGAAGCCGTACAAATGTGAATTCTGCGACTACGCGGCGGCCCAGAAGACGTCCCTGCGGTATCACCTGGAGCGTCACCACAAGGAGAAGCCGGCGGACCCGGGGGCGGCCGAGGCCAGGGCCGAGACGAAGCCCCCGGAGGCCGAGGCCACGCTGGCCCCCGAGGACGGCGGCGGCGCTGGTGCCCACCCCCCCAAGACCCTGAAACGCTTCTGCGACGGTGCCAAAGACGGGAAGGCCGGCCCGCCCGCCAAGCAGCCCAAGGTGGTGGCGGCAGCGGCAGTGGCAGCTGCCGCCTTCCAGAACGTTCTGGGCGGCCTTGCCGCCCGCCAAGATTCTCAGGATTTACCGAGCCACGCCCTGGACGAGGCCCCCGCCGAGAAGGGGGCCGAGAAGGGGGCCGGCGCCCACGACGTGCTCCCGAGGCGGACCCCCGCGGACCCCCAGCTCCTCCCCCGCCTGGCCTGCAGAAGCGAACCGGCGGGCGTCGGTGGGGCGCGGCGGGGCGTCGACGGCCAGGAGCGGCCGCTGAACCTGTCGCTGGGGGCCCTGCACGGCTGCACGGCGCTGTCCCTGAGCCGCAACCTCGTCCCCTCCATCACCTGCCCCTTCTGCACCTTCAAGACCTTCTACCCCGAGGTCCTGATGATGCACCAGCGCCTGGAGCACAAGTACAACCCCGACGTCCACCGGCACTGCCGGGCCAAGGCGCCGCCGCGGACCCGCCGCACGGGCTGCCCGCCCGCCCTGCTGGGCCGCGACGTGCCGCCCCTGCCCGCCCTGCCCCGGGCCCGGCCCACCAAGCCCGCCCTGACCGCCCAGCCCAGGCCCAAGCCCGGCGCCGCCCCGGGGTCCGGCGGCAAGGCGACCCCCGCCACGGGGGCGGACATCAGCACTTTAGCGCCCAGCAACCTGAAGGCCCCGCGGCCCCCGCCCGGCCGGCAGCCCCCGCCGCCCCCCGCCGCCCCCCGCCGCCAGCCCCGGAGCTGTTGGCCAAGGCCGCCGACAAGGCCCGACGCCCCGAGGTCAAGGCCAAAGCGCCCGGCCCCGCGCTCACCAACGGCTTCGCCGAGCACGCGGCGGCCGGCAGAGACTACTTCGGCGGCCGGGCCGCGGACTTCGGGGAGCCCCTGCCCAAGCGGTCCAAGGCCGGCGCGGGGCCCCCCGAGGGGGACCCCGGCTACCGCCGCGGCTTCGCCCACCTCCCCAAGTACCACGTGGTGCGCGGGGTGCCCGCGCTGCTGCCCCAGGAGTACGTGTGCCCGCCGGCGGCCGTGCTGCCCCCCAAGGCCAGGTTCCTGGGCCCCGGGGAGGCCGAGCCCTCGGGTCTGCTGAGTGGCCACAAGACCTACAGGGGTCCCGCGCCGCTCTAACCCCTGCGGGCCTGCAGGGGGCGCTGCCGCGGCCGGGCCCCGGCTCGAAGGTAGGCAACCTGGCCCCCGTGGGGGCGGGCTGTCCTTCCCTGGTGGTGGGTTTTCTGGGGGTCAGCACTTGTGTCCCGCTTGAGGTCGAGGGGCGCAGACCGAACCCCTTCGGGACGGGAAGTCCAGGCGTCCTGGGCCTCTCGGTGGCCACAGCTGCTGCTGAGCGCCTGTAGGGCTAGGCCGGGTGTGTGGACGTCGGCTTACAGGGCCGTGACTCCCTGTCCTGGGCATGTGCTCCATTCTGGGTCTCTCTGGGAGCGCGACTCCTGGGACAGGGCTCCCGGGCGCCCCGGGCGGGCAGAGGGCTGGCCGCGCTGGACCTGGGCTCTTGGAGGCTGGCGGTGGGGCTGCGGTCCCCGTCCCCCAGGGACGCCCTGGGGGCCTTGGTTCTTGGCTGGAGCGTCCCTGGCCTGCCCTGGCATGTGGCGGGCTGACGGTGGTGGGGACGGTCCCCGGAGGACCGTGGGCTGCTCCTTCTGTCAGGGCCGGGCTGGGGCAGGGGGGCTGGTTGGTTGCCGGTCGTTCCCGCTCCGTTCCCGGGTGGCTCTAAGCGTCCCCCCCATCCCCCCTGCAGGGAAGAGGCCGGTGTCCTACCAACACTTGTCCAGCAGCATCCTGCAGAAGAGGAACTATGAGAATTTCATCGGGAACGCACATTATCGACCGAACGACAAGAAAACTTGATTTCCGCTGTGGGGGAGACGAAGGTGAGCGTGTGGGGTGCTTGGGGTCCGCTGGGCTCGGGGGGTGGTGGGGAGGTGGTCCTAGGCTGTGTCCACTGGGCAGACGCTGGCCTTGGGCGCTGCCAACGGGAGCCCACGTGAAGCGCTGCTCAGGGCAGCGACGCCACTAACCGCGGCCTCCCGTGCGGGCCTTGGACAGGGTCGGGGCGGAGGCTGGTGCTGGTCCCTCTCAGGGGAATGGTGGGGTCAGAGGTCGGGCGGGGTCTTGGGGCTCAGGGTCCTTTATGGCCACGTCCGTCGGCCCCCTACTGCCCTGCGTGGGGCTGGCTAGGAGCACCGTTGTCCCGGGACCACACTCAGGTCTTCTTCACCAGAGTGTGGGAGCCTGGACCCCAGGACCCAGGACCGGGCTAGGTGACCCCCAGTTGCTTCAGGGGTCTGCAGCATCTACAGTTGTAGGATCTCCCCCCCCCCCTTTTGGGGTGACTGCACCTGTTCTGACTCGGGGTCAGCCCGCCAAGACCCAGAGCCTGCTGCGTGTTCTGAGTTGGGGCACTGAGGGACCCCGGCGGGGTGGGGTGGGAGGCTCTGCCCGGGGTCCTACAGCACTGGGCTCCTGGTGTGCCCCCAGTTGGGCCCCTTCCACGTTCCGGCCAGTTTTGTGGTTTTGGATACCCCGTGGCTGATGGGGTTTGAGGCTTCCCCAGGGAATGAATGACCTGCTCTGTTGAGTCTCTGGAGTTGAGGGGGCCAGAGATGGTCTTTTTTTTTTTTTTTGGCCTTTCGGGTCACACCGGACGATGCTCAGGGCTTCCTCCTGGCTCTGCACTCAGGAATGTCTCCTGGCGGTGCTCGGGGACCCTAGGGGATGCCGGGGATTGAACCTGGGTTGGCCGCGTGCAAGGCAAATGCCCTCCCCGCTGTGCTATCGTTCTGGCGCTAAGATGGCCTGGGTTTTGTCCCTGGCCCTGCCCGGTCTCCTGAGCCCCACGGGGAGTGACCCTCTGAGCACAGAACTGAGAGCAATAACCCCGGAGGCCCCCTGTAAGAAGTCACTGTTAACCTTCGCGTGTTGAGGCTCCCTTGTGTTCGTTTTTTATTTGTATATTTATTTTTTTTGGGTCCCACCCGGCGATGGGCAGAGGTTCCTTCCTCCTGGCTCTGTGCTCAGGAAGTTACTCCTGGTGGTGCTCGGGGGACCCTCGGGGATGCTGGGAATCGAACCCGGGTCAGCTGTGTGCAGGGCAAACTCTACTCACTGTACTATCGCTCCAGCCCCTCATTTTTTAAGCCTTTTGTGTTTTGGGGGTCACCCCTGGCATTGCGCTGGGGTCACTCCCCGTGGGATGCCGGGGACCGAGCCTGGCCAGTGCCCCAGGCTGGCACCGACTCACGGGGGGGCCTCGTCTCCCGCAGGTGTCGCGGCCGGAAGCGTTCTCTCCTGCAGTTAGTGCCCAGCCACCCCCCCCTCGAGGAAGCGACAGCAAAGCTACTGACACAAGCTGTGACTGGCCTGGACAGTGCGGAGGAGGCAGGAAGGAACACTACAGTCCTGAGTGCTTCGGGTCACTTTTGTACCAAATAGCAATAAAAAAAAAAACACGCGAGTTGGAACAGTCGGTTTGTACCCAGACGGAGACCGGAAATCTCTCTATTTTTGTCCTTGAATAACTGAATCATTTTTATTTTATTTTTTTTTTTCAAAAAAAAAAAAAGAATTGACCAAAAAAGTTTTTTTTTTTTTTTGCATACTTGAGCGCTGCTGAAATCATTGGGGGCCGGGGGGTGGGGGGCGCGGGAGAGAAAGTCTATAATGCTTGCACCTCAGGTAAAGACTGTACATAACCTTACGTGGTAAACCCGCTCCTTTTCTCCTCTGTATTTTCTGTTCTCCTAGCTTGTCCCTTGAGCAGTTTGTTCGTGCCCTTTCTTTTTACGAGTGTATGTTTTTAAGGGGGGAAAAAATTTTTTTTTGCAATGACTTGTATTATGTCAAATCCTCTGCAGTCTGTTGTCTTCACAGGGTCCTTGAGTGAATCGTGGGCTGCCCTACCCCCCCACCCCCCAAAAAAAGGGGAGGACGGGGGACGGGGGTTGTCGTGTGGTGGAAGGAGGCTAGCCCTTCTGTCCTGCCCGGGGCGGCCTTGGTGGCATCTGTCAAGTGTGTATCCCGCATCCTAGCGGGCCTTAGAATTCCTTTCAATTTGCTTTTTTTCCTACCCAAGTAATCATTTTTTTTTTTCCCTCTTTTTTCCTCCTTCGGTTGGAAATTTGTCAGTGTTGCGGGCCCGCCCCGAGCCACTGCACATGCGGAACCAAACACGTGCCTGACACAGCCTGGAAAAACGGTCTGCCCTGCGCTGGACCCCCTCGAGGTCAGGGTCCGGCCTCGCCGACCCGGGTTTGAGGCTGGTCTCAAAGCTCAAACTTTGAGGGGTGTTGGGGGAGGTGGCGGCAGGGCTGCCCCTCCCCTGGTGGTTGGTGGTAGCGCCCCGGCCTTGGGGGGTGTCCCCTGCATCCCACCCGGCTGGCATAGCCCAGCGCTTTACAAGGAAAACCGTTTCCAGGAGAAGATTTGCACTGCGCGTTGCTCTGTTCTCGAGGGCGCCCATCCGGGGGGATCGGGGCGGGGTGGTCCCGACTCGTACCCCGGACACAGCCTGAAGGTACTTGAGTCTGGGCGCCAGCCCGGGTCCGAGAGGCGTCTGCCGGCAGCGCATCCAAGTGCTTTTGTAATCAGGAAACTTCACACTATTGACCTGCTTTCCTGTTCACAAGCTGAGCCATATGTACATAATCTAGAGTTTTTTTGTTTTCATAGTTTTTGCACTTTTATATCCTATTTTTGGAAGATTAACACATTTGCAGGATGATTGACCTGATCTTTTGCTTAATCTGATGAGTGTTACGGAGTTGGCTCTGACTCTTGTATATCTTAAAGGGGGATATGTGATGGTAAGATGGCTGAAGTTTAAACCTGTATTTAAAAAAAAAAATCACCAAATCTATTTGAAAACAAGCCAATTTTGTGTTATGCTGAAATTGGGGTGGGGGGGGCTTGCAGATTTTTTTTTCCCTTTCTGACCACTTTTCTGAATCCAGAAAATCATCTTTTTAAAAAAAAAACTTGTCTTTTTTTCAACAGCCCTTGTACTCCCAAAACAATGGTTTTTTTTTTTTTTTGTTTTTTTGGTCCATCAGTATTAACTATTGGAATACTACTGGTTTTTATGTTTTTTTTTTTTATTCTGAGACAGCAGTACAATAGAGGTACAATCCGTTGGATTTTTTTTTTTGTTTATTTATTTCATTCCAGTTTGATTTATTTTAATTGTCGATACTTAAGTTGTCAAACAGTAGGCATTTACTTGTTTTTTTTATTTATGATATATTTCAGCTTAAAGTTATGTTATTTTACATGGATGTAAATATAGATTTGGTGTTTTGCAATATCGGGCTTTGGTCTTTATTCTGTTGCGTGCTCTCGTTCGGAGTCTTGAATAAGGACCGCGCCTCCAGCACCCGTGCCATCGAGAGGATGCGAAGGACCACGCCTCCCACCCTGCTGGTGTGACCCCACAGCGACCCGCCTGCACCCAGGCTCAGGGAGACCGCAGCCAGCTCAGCCCGGGTCCCCGTATGTGCTCAGAGCTGTTGTCTGCTCGGGGGCCCGAACAGAGGGAAGGGGTCATGCGTGCTGACACGCACATACATGCACGTATGCACCAGGACCTTCACACACACACCATGTTTGCACACCAGGCGTGCACACACAATCACGACAGTTTATACACACACACACACATACACACAGGTCATGTTTGCGCATGCGCACAGACACGAACCACATTTGCACACGTGAACCAGGTTGGCACCTACGCATCCACACACACAGCATGATTGAACGTGTGTGTGTGCGTGCGTGTGCCGTGTTTGCACATAGACGTGTCCTCGCGCGTTCTCCCTTGTGCACGTGTCCACGCACCAACCTTGACGTTCATGGGGAGAGTCTGGCTCGCTTCCTGGCGCTTCTTCCCTGGTGGGGCAGCTGCGCTCGCTCGGAGCTGAGCTTGGCTCCGTCTCAAGCTCCCCGCTGCCCCCTAAGCCGGTCAGTGGAAGCAGATGTGCAGACCCACTGCGCTCAGACTGGGAGGGGCGGGACCAGGAGCCTACACGGATTCAGAGAGAGACAGACAGACAGACGTGTTTGGTTTTATGCATGTGGTGCTGGGGTCTTTGGGCGTCCAGGGCCTTGGACTGGCCACAGCTTGCAATGGCTTTTTTGGCACATGGGTCACTCCTGGCTCTGCACTCAGAAATTACTCCTGGCGGTGCTCGGGGGACCCTATGGGATGCTGGGAATCGAACCCAGGTTGACTGTGTGCAAGGCAAACGCCCTATCCGCTGTGCTATTGCTCCAGCCCCCCCCTTTTTTTTAAAAGTTTTTAAAAAAATTTGGATCACACCTGGCGATACACAGGGGTTCCTCCTGGCTCTGCGCTCAGGAATTACTCCTGGCAGTGCTCAGGGGACCCTATGGGATGCTGGGAATCGAACCCGGGTTGGCTGTGTGCAAGGCAAACGCCCTACCTGCTTTGCTCTCGCTCCAGCCCTGCAGTGGCTTTTGGTCATTGCTGCTATTCTAGCCCTCACCCCCGTTTTGAGTTTTCCCAACTGACTTAGACCTCTGGCTTTTAGTAACTTTAGGAAATGTTGCAGAAGATGAAAAAGAACACCATTCCTCTTTTGTTTGGGGCTAGACCTGACTGCTCGGAGCTGCTGGGGTTTGAGCCTGGGTGCTCCGCCGTGCTGTCCCTGTCCTCATGGATGAGGGCCGCTCGAGGGACTTCTCCGGCTTCCTATGTGCCCGCCCTCATGTTGGTGTCTTCCTCTAGATCATCTCTGTCCTTGATTACACCTCCCCCAACCTTTTGGGATCTGCAGTTTCTCCTTGACCTGCTTTCAGCTTTAAGTTTGTTCTCAGGACAGGCTAGATCTAGCCTTACATCGTTGAAGTCAGTGTTTGTCACCCTGGGATGTCCCCAGGGGACCCCAGGTGCCTAAGTTTCGTTCTTCCAAGTCTCTCAGCCAAGACTTTTCATTTTGTTTCGGGGTCGTACCCGGCCGTGCTCAGGGCTTACTCTGGGCTCTGCACTCAGGAGTCACTCCTGGAGGTCTTGGGGACCACTTGGGGTGCTGGGATCAAACCTGGGTCGGGTACGGGCGAGGCAAGTGCCTTACCCACTGTTCTATTGCCCTGGATGAGCAAAGGTACCAACCAAGGTGAAAGATGCTCGAACACTGGCGCAGTACACACACGCTGCCACCAGGTGGCGCTGTTGTCAGCGTCTCCAGGGTCCTTCCAGCTTCCAGCCAACTCTCCAAGACAATCATTTGAACTTTTTCAAAAGTTGCAAGAAATATGAACATTTTTCACTGCAGCTTAGGACAGAGGAGCCAAAATAACTGGCCCTTATCAGGGCTAACATGTTGAAAGTAGACTTTAGACCGAACATGATTGCCACTCAATGCCTCTTTTGCAAACCACAGCACCCAAAAGGAGAGAGAGAACAAAAGGGAATGCCCTGCCACAGAGGCAGGGTGGGATGGGGGAGATGGGGGGTGGGAGGGATACTGGGACCCGTGGTGGTGGAGAATGGGCACTGGTGGAGGGATCGTTGTTCGTTCATTGTATAACTGAAACCCAAGCACAAAAATTTGTAAGTCTACAACTACCTCATGGTGTTTCACTAATAAAAAATCTTTTTTAAAAAGCAATGAGCATTTACTAAAATCTTGTTGGTGTACTTAAAACTTCAACAATCCAACACCCTGAGAGTTAGCCTTTGTGTCTGTTACCTAGTTCAACCCTGGGGCTGTGTGATTCTAGCAAAAGAAAGCTGGATGGGAGGGGGGGGTAACCCTCTTATTTATTTTTTTCAGTTTTCAGAGGCAAGAAGGAACAGCGGGAGGGAGAAAGGAGGAGAGGGAGGGGAGCCGCACAGGGCCTGTCCCCTTTCACCCTTGGAGGCTTGTCGGAAGAGGCTGCAGAAGGCCCGAAGCTGGGGTCAGGCTCTGTGGGTCAGCAGGGGGCAGGGATGGACACTGGACACACCGTCCATCCCTTTCTCTGGAAGGGAACGGCGCGTTCTCAGGAGCCACCGCTAGAGGGAGCAGGGACCCTCGTCCTCGTCTGCCTCATCCCTTCCTCTGCCTCCCACCCCCAGGGACCCTCATGGAGAACAGAGATGGGGGGAGGAGGGAAGGTGGGGGAAGAGTGCAGGGGGCAGCTCAACGCCTGCCCCCACGTGGCCCCCCAGCCCCTCCTGAAGTCAGCCTTGAACTGGGCTGGCTGTGGCCCTTAGCTCGGCCCCTCCTAAAAGAACTTGGATCAAGGGAATTGGCTTAGCTGCAGGAAGCTCTGTGTTGACCCAGCCCTGTCTGTCCTGGGGGCCCGGACCTGTCCTGGGGGCCCCAGACCCTGTCCCAGGGGCCCGGACCCTGTATGATGCTGGCATCATTCCAAGTCACTGACTTACTTGCTTTTTTTGGGGGGGGGGT